TTGAAACAATGTTTTATCCTGAAATAAAAATTTGATATTAATATTTAAAATATATAAATTTATCTACCAAATAAAGACACCAATTTATATATTAGATATTGTATATATACCTTAAGGGTCTTATAATTTATAACAGCATTTATTATTTTATATTTTTATTAGATATTAATTATTAAATATTTTAATAAATAATTAATAAATACATTTTTTTTTTTTTGGAAATATAATTTCCGTGAAATCCAATTTGATAATAATAACTGATAACAGATAATTGATATCGAAGGTTATCTAATCCCAATGGGATTAGAGTCAATCCTAGAACAGTATTTTCATTGGGTTCTCTAACAATGTACACTATGCTTATATGCCACCTAGTATCCCTTTTTAACTCATTTTAATATTACTGTTAAACATTCAAGATTTGACACAATATTTTCTCTTTTATACGTCAAATGGTCATAGACATTATCTCAAACCGATCAACCTTCATTATTTTATCATGATAAATATCCCCACCAATGTTAGTCTCCCTCATTTGATTGAAGAGATGAATCATCTACAAAGGGATCCAAATAGAAAAATTAAGATGAAATCTTTACTCTTGCAAGTGCATACAATGTGTACTACACCGTCCGTGATCGAGAGCTTCAAGTTCGAAAATTTAAATATTCGTATTCGGTTTGGTGGGTCAAACTTTTTGACAGTTGAAGTGCAAAATTTGAAAATAAAAATTCACCGACCCGTTTTGTACGTAAGATGATTGAATCGTTCCTCCTCCTTTTTGCTTTTTGCGAGTGGCTTCGTTGTAAAAACACCCAACCATAACGACATCGAATGCGCATGTTGAGAAGTTAATTATTCGTCCACTTTATTAATTTCTCGACCATCACGCACGTTTTTACATGCCACCTCAGAAATGAGCTCCAAGGCTCGAAATAATCAAATCGTTTTTTCTTTCCTTTGTGACAAGGTACCGCCGTCGCGTGATGTGTAACGTAGTGTTAAACAAACACTTAAAACATTTCCCAAACTATATGATTATTTTGATTGTTATTATTATTTTAACAGTCACTGCTCTAAAAAGTTAAAAAGTAATAGTAAATGAAAAAAAAAAACCAAGAATCGTCAATGTTTCGATATAAGGGCTACCCTATTATTATATTTGGGATCAAATATTTACAGTTGAAAACGAGAACTCTAAATCCGTGCGCTATTGTAATTTTTAAACAAAAACTTGTGAGTAACCTATCCAATCATGGAGAGCGGTACTAAAACTGTAGGCGTGGAACTTAAATAATTTGAAAGTTTAAAAAAAAATAATAATATTAATAACAATAATAATAGCATGACTTTTAAAATCTAGTATTTTACTTAGAAAACGATTAAGCTTGAAATATTGAATATCTTAAATTATTATATTTACCTTATATTAATCGATACTGATATCTGAAATATAATATTGATACAATTTCTTTTCCATTTCAAGTTCATCCATATTGAATTGTATTTATAATACAATTTAAAGAAAATAAGCACAAAATATTCAATATTATAATCACTTACTATTAATATTGGAACAAACAACGACAACATTACGATTCAACGATGCCGATGAGTACCGACGTACCAAGAAACACTAACAGAATCATTATCTAAAATAGCGATGACAAACTATAGTGTCCTCTTAAGATACTTACCGATCACGATCGTATAAAATACTATCCAACATCATAAGGATGTAGACAAAAACATATTTTAATTTTTTTCGGTTTATAAATTTCTATACTGATATAATCTATAAATTTACTTTTACTTAATAAAAAAATATTTATTAATTTTTCTGAATTTCGAGCAGATTGAACCCCTAAAACCTCATTTGTATACGTACCTAGACACCATTAAGATAACTAAATTTTCCAAAGTGTGTATAAATCGAAATAATCAAACCCCACAAATAATAAATCGCGATAAGCACTGGTTTGTTTGGTAACTATAGTTATTTACCAGAAAATATGGTCAATTCATTGTATAACATCACTTACTGTACAGGCGCGTATTGACCCACCGGGATACCGTGAAAATTCCGATAAGCCCTTTCAAAAATTATAAAAACTGTGCCCCTTACCAAATAGGTACCGATAGTTTCAGTTAAATTCAGTTATTTTATTATTTTTAACAATTATGATACAATACTGATGGACAGTCGACTTCTTAATTTAGTACACAATGGGAAATGAGTAAAACACGCAATTTTTTGAATAATTTAATTGATTTGCTTTTGGTAAATATGTCTGTTACCATTTCTATTATTAAAATCATTCAATTATTCCATTTGATTATTCCCATCACTAGTTGTAACATCACCAGCAGAATCGATAAGTAATGTTGCTAAAATTCAATGGAAAAAATGACCTATATCAGCTCGGAAATACAGTAAATTTAAATACATTGCAATTTCTTGAGGCATATTTTCAATTTTGTTTTTTTCCAATAACCTGCTTGATGCATTAACCGATTTTATAACTAAAAAAAAAAATCTATCTGACCTTACATTTGTGGGTCATAAGTCCATGTTTTTTCTTCAAAATATCATATAACTCCCCTTTAATAGTAAATGATCGTGAACAGTTTATTTTTGAATAGAGAAGTTTAATGTGTAATATATATTTCACTAATTAATATTACATATATCGTAATAAATGAACAAAGAATGAGTAGCCAATATATACAATACAATTTTATCTCACCTACCTTTTTACTAAATATTGAATATCAGGAGCTTTGTTAATGAATTTTTTATATCGGTTGAAGTCAAAACATTGGAATTTTTACTTTTGATACACTCGATTTTCTCTTGAAGAAAACTCTTTAAATATGTACCAACATTAATATTATGTTTCATATTTTTCATACTTTTGAGCATTACATAAATAGACCATAGAATTGACGGTTTAATTTCTGCAAATAATTTATTAACATTTATAAGAAACATATTTTCCGATTTGGAAAATATTTAATCGATTTAACGATTTTTTATTATTTTTTTTCAATTTTAAAATTTTTTTATAAGCCATTATATATCTTTCTTTTGATTTTTCAGGCAATAGATTTAGTGAAACAGCATTTGCCGTTTTAACCATGTATGGTGGAGTTAATGATTTACTACAACTACTATATTGATTGTCATCTTTCGTATTTATGCTTGTTTGCTCGCTTCGCAGTCAAACCATCACTGGTTCGATTATGTGACGTACTCGCATCGTTTGCAATAAAAAAGAATACTTAATAGGGATAATTAATGAAATTATAACAAATGCCGGGATAAACGGGCCAAAAGCGCCACAATAATATTAACAAAAACAGTAATAATAAATATGATAAATCTAAAAATAACAATAAAATCACATATGCTCCAAACAAAAATCTTTTTATCTTATCTCAGGGGTTCTCAACCGGTGTGCCGCGAAATCGACTAGATATGCCACAAAAAATTTCTGACAGTTAAATGTTAATTAATTGTGCAAATATATATGTAGGTAAACTGTATAGTGTACACTGTTAAAACCCTACTGGATTTGGCGTAGCCAAAGTTTTTGTTGTGGTTCAGTGCATGAACGTGCCGCGAAAACTTGTGATGTATAATAGTGTGCCGTGAACAAAAAAGGTTGAGAACCACTGTCTTATCTAGATAATAATAATTTGAAATATCTTTTTATCCATATTTTTAAATAAAATTGTTATCTAAGACAAATTATCTAGATAATTTTAAAAAAGATCTTTTTTTTTTTTAGTGGGAAGTGAAAGGAGGAATAATCAACACTTAGTATTACCAAATGTACATTTTAAATTTTAAATATACATATTCTATAAACGAAGAAAAGGTATTTATAATAATTTACACAGAAAACATATAAAAATGAACGTATTTCAAATAATACCATTCAATTTTATACCGATTCACTTATTATTTTCTGTATAATCGACGACTGGGTGATACCCGCTGCCCAATATAATTTATTGTTATAATAATATATTATGACAAAGTACTTACAGAAATGTTAAGAATGTTGAAAGTTTGGTTTTTAAACATTTTACTGAACTATTTATATATTATTTTACTTGTATTTAACTGTTTTTAAGAACATACTATTTTTATTATATAATAAATACAACGTTTTAAATTTTTTTTTAAATATTTAATTTACAATTAATTCAAGATCACTGAAATAAAAATAATTATTTTAATATTGTTGTGTATATATTTATTTTTATAGAATTTAAATCAAAATGTAGATTTGGTTTATGGTTATTTTATAGTTTCGTGTAAGAAATGGGTAGACAACAATGACTATTGTTATAGATAGGTATACATAAGACTGATTTATATTGGTATTTATATCAAGTGGGCCCTAATTATACCAGTTTCCCTGTAGGGTAACTGGACCCAGTACGTGCCTGCATATGTATAATACCAAACGCGAACGGTACGAAATTACAACAGTTGTTGCCGTCACTTGTAGTTCAGCGGCAAACTTTATTTAAAAACGCAAAACCGATGGTAAAGCAGTCGGTCGAAATACACAGAGGCTCATCCGGTCTTCGACTTGATTTCGGTAGAAGAAAACCCCCTGGCCATCCCATACGTTTCAGACTTTCGAATATTCCCCCTCCCCCAACATACTCAAATGAGCGAAAAACGCGCTCCGATTCAATTACGAGAGCATCGATAACGATTAACAAGATTGTTTTTTTATTATAACTGATGGCGTTTGCGGACGAAATTACGTGATCGTTCGAGGACAACTACGTGATCGTGTATATTAAATATTAGGATTTACCGGATTCGCGTTGCACGTGGTGGCCAAAGAGCGACCGCTGATGACACAACATACCGGTATACTTGCACCTACTCGCCGCCGTCCTCCTACACGGGCCGACCATCTTCGAGTTTTTTTTTATTATTATTCGTTAATTTATCTCGTCGATTTTTTTCTCACCGTCCGGGGATAACTGACGATCCGCGATCGTATATATAGTCGACGGTCCGCGGTTGACAATCATCATTCGACCGAGTGCGGCATTCAGAACAAACGACCATCATCATGAAATTCGTGAGTAAAACCTTTTTTGAACTCGTGTATAATATTGTACAATGACTTTATTGCGTCGTTTTAACACGATTACGTTCACCTCCGTCGGTCATATACTCCGTACTTACCGGGGTAATCGTATCTAAGCCACCGTCATATATGAATACGTATACATATATTATAATTGAATCGATTTCATTCTTATTTCAAACTCTGTTTTTCGTTAACTCGTTATACTAATGTTTACAATGTCGTTACAGGCAGCAGCTCTTGTCACTCTGGCGGTTGTAGCCCTCGTTGGGGCCGACTCGACCAGCAAGGCGACAAAACAAGGAAAGAGAAGTCTAGGCGAATCCGGCTATGGACTGGGTCTGTCCGGTCTTGGTTACAGTTCCGGTCTCGGTTACGGTTCCAGCATCGGTTACGGTTCCGGTTACAGTTCCGGTTTCGGTTCTGGTATCGGTTCTGGTATCGGATACGGCTCCTCTGGTCTTGGTTACAGCTCCGGTTTAAGGTATGGTTCCGGTTTGGGACTGTCATCCGGTTTGGGATTCTCTTCCGGTGGCTACCAGAGCGTCGCCAACGTCGCTGCCCCGGCCCCGACCACGGGACCCATTGTGCCAGTCTCCAGAGAAGTCCACATCGTCAACCGTCACGCACAACCGGTATCCGCCCCGTACCCAGTGCCAGTGCAAAATGACGTGGCCGTACCAGTGCCGCACCCAGTGCCGTACGCGGTAGACCGCCCGTACTCAGTGCCCGTTCCGTCTCCATATCCAGTGCCGGTCGAGAGGCCAGTTCCCTACGCTGTTGACAGGCCAGTCCCGCATCCAGTGGCCTCCCCGTACCCAGTGCCCGTGGTCCGCGACGTCCCGGTGCCCGTGTCCAAGCCGTACGCCGTCCCGGTAGTCAAACGTGTCCCAGTGCCCGTGGCCACCCCTGTCGTAGTTTCCCAACCAACCATCGCCTTGGCTGCACCGGCTGCTCCCCTGATCACCTCCAGCTACAGTTCCGGATTTGGTTCCGGTTTCGGTTCCGGTTACGGTTCTGGTTACGGCTCCGGTTTCGGTTCTGGTTATAGCATCCCGTCTATCGGTCACGATTCTTCCGCCATCAGCTACAGCGGATCGTCCTTCGGATCCGAAGGCCTCTACGGCTCGTCCTTGGGATACGGTAGCGCAGGACTATCGTCATACGGACACGGTTTCGAACACAAGAAATAGAACGTTCATTCGGCACGTGGAATGTGCGTAGAGTTCAGCACGCATAGTCCAACGACAACGAACGTGCAATGATACCATTTATTCATACCATGTACCAGTGATATATATATTTTCATAGATAATTCGTATTTAATTTGTTTTCATTTATTTTTTTTTTTTTTTTGTATCTGATATTTTGTCAATGACTGCTCTATAATTATTGACCTCAACAAATACATATTTTTTTTTTTTTATATATATACACAAACTTGTTCAAATTTTTTTCACAGATATACCACCAAACGTGTTGTAACACCTAAAAAGGGTTGTTTTTAAAATGTATCTCCTAAATCTCTCCGGTTCCCATTCAAATCAAAAAATCGGAAATTGTGTACAAATTATGAAAACATCAAACACATAAATATTTTAGCGTGCTACATTATTCGAATAGTTTTGCACGATTTTCCATACTGTTTATGTACATTATCATTATTGTTATGGATATTATTCACACAGAAACATCATTGACTAATGTAAGCTTCCCATGGTTCATTAGAATAAAATAAATTAATAAACAATGTAAGTATGCTGATCACAAAAATAATTATTTATATAACAACATAACTATTAAATTTATTTGACAATCAATTGTATGAGTTGCGCTTATATTATTGTCAAATAACTTTTTCGGTATTTTTTGAATCAATCATAAAATAAGCACAAACAAATGAATCATTAATCTATTATCTAAATTCTGTATGTTTATTAATAAATTTCGATCTCAATCCAGTGTACAAACGCACTACTTATCTAAACAAGCTAGATATTTTATTTTTCATGTAACTCGTAGATTTATAAAACTATGCACTCGATACAACTATAGAACTTCTTGTATTGTAAAGCGCGTGTATTAAAATTGATAACAATTATGATTTTCTTAATAATAATGTTTAATTATAATTATTATTAAATCGTAAAATTATATACTATTTTAATAAAAAGTGTAACAGTATAAAAAATAACGAAGTGAAATGTTATAAATATTGAAATAGAGTAGTGATTTTATTATTAACATGCACTCAGCACGTGTACATAACATAGGACTAAATCGATAAAATCAATTTATCGAATTTATAATTGATTACGTAAAATTATGGACAATATTATGTTATACTATTGTTTTATAATATAGTATTATTATTCGTTGCAATTGCTTGTATTACAACGACCTCGTTCGAGTAATTTTTATTTGAGATGGTTCAACACAATTTTCAATTGTATTCAATATTTTTCATTATATATTTTTTTTTTTTTCAAGATAGTTAGATTTTTACAGGTAAGTGTTTACATATTAGTTAGTAGCTAATGAACCAAAACATAAACAATAGCCTAATTAATAAAGTTTTGGTTTGGTGTATTCTCGGTGGCTTGAAATACAGTTTTTCATCAATTCATCAATTTAGTTATTGTACCTAGTATAATATAGTGTGTTTCAGTAAAAAAGCGACAAAAGACATTAAATATTATTCAGTTTGATTATACGGACAAAAGAAATTATATATTGTATGATTGATTTTATTCATTGTATTATTTTAACTAATAATGTTCATAAAAATAATTCCTTCTTTTCGAACATCGTCAGAAAATAGGAACAAAAGCTGATGTTAGTAATTTATTGTTAAAAAAAAAAAAAATTGAATAATATATTATTGATTATATTTACGTCGAAATTTGACTTCATAAACTCACCGCATACCAGTGATTGATTTAAGTAGGTAGCCTGTGTTTGAAAAATAGCATTTTTAAAATATACGTAAAAGTACAATAAAAATTAACATGAATAATTTATTAAAACGGATGCGGATGTTTTATACGTAATTAAACAGCGAACTGCGCTAATGCCGTAATTGCACGTCTGACGTAAGCAAATATGTAAATACGGTCCATTTTTTCAAAATTTCCCCGCACACTGGCACGTATTATTTATGCACGTAGTGTACAGTTCAATTTTGATGACCAAAAATATGTATTGTTTTATGAAATTATGTACTAACAAAAATTTTAACATGTTAGTAACAAACATGAAATTAAAATACAATCCACATGGCACATTTTGAGACGGAATCCTGCACAACGATCACTCACAACTTTTAACGCACATAAGGACAAACGAAAACGTATAATTTATTTTGTTATATATATATATATATATATATATTTTTTTTTTTTTAATAAAAGTTTAGATTTTCGTTTTGCACAAAATAAAAATTAGATTGAATACCGAATTTTTCAAACGTTTCCTAAAAATAGGACTCGTTTTTCACGGACCACTTTACGTGTCACCGCAGAAAAGTATCTGAAATAATCATCGTGGAAGGAATCGAGAAATCCTTTGTTCTCTTACGATTTTCGAATGTAATTTATGAGATTCTTAAACCATAACAGTAACGTTAAACAAATATAATAACTGGAGTGTACGGGCACAGTACAAATGACGTGAGCGCTTTGACACAAGTCAAGCGTAAATGTCTGTGCGAGACGACCAGTTTTAAGAACGTTTAATGATAATAATATTCACATGTTACGCTCACGCTCATATATTGTGCGTTTCACCATTGTAGTTGTTGCGATATTGTGTACGCGGATAGCGAAAAGGGATTTTTCCCTCCCGCTAAGTTTTTATTTCCGTCGGTTGAAGTAACGCGTATCGATGTACGCACTTAGGATGAACGTTCAACCAAGTAGTGCATACGTGTGCAAAAAAATAAAATCAAAATCGCATCACGACGTCGTATGGGTAAAAGTGAATTATTGTCACCGGTAACGTTGGCACACAATGGTCTGAAACGAGACCAAACGCTATTTTTGGGTAGCCTAAAGTCTTATTTCATTAAACTACAAAACTGCGTATTCCGTTATGATTCGTTTTTTTTAAATTTTTTTGTTTTTCACCCTAGTATTTTGAAGGTGAATTAAAAACACGAGGTTGATGGGTCGATTCTAAAATGCTGAATTTAGTACTGTTTTATCAGATACTTTTACAGTTTTATAGAAAATGTTCAATTATTAGGCTATAAATGAAAACCAACGCACTGCCGAGAGTAACGCACGTTTCGGTGTGCGGGTGCACGTTGAAACGACTCAAGCGGACAACAAACGCAAACACGCATTAACGGTTTAACATCTTTAACATCACACGAAGTGCACCCGAAAACCAATATCGAGTGAGTGGGCGTGTGTGCATGTGTGCGAGTGTGTAAATTACGTATTTAGGAATTTTCCTACACGCACTCACCGACTGCCATGTTAATAATATTTACACATTTTGCAGGTTATAATACGTAGTTCAATCAGGTAAAAATAAAAAAAATAAAAAACCACAAATTATCTATATTTATGTGATGGTTTTAAGAATTCGAAACATTCGTAAAATCAAAAGTAGTATTACGATTTGAAAAACACTCGAAGAAAAAAAAAAGAGCTCAAAGGAGATCTCCCACTCCTCTAATACGCCACTACGTATGTGCGCGTGCGTGTGTGTATGTATAGGTCACCACACAACAGCTAAATATTGTGTAATGTTTAAAATACGATTACATATTACTGTGTTTTTTTTTTAACGTCCGATGATGATTTTCTATCTATACCGTGGTCTCTGTTGGAGACATCTTTTTTTTTGTCCCAATTCTACATCGAGCAATAGTGGTTTCTAGGCCAAACTCTGTTATTAGGTTACTCGAACGTTGTTCGTTATGTAAATTAGTCGTTCGACCGGTCGAAAATAAAATATATAAATAGCATACATCAGTATTATATACACAAAAAAATTTATATATATAACATTATTATTATATTTTCAAATGAGTGGCCACTTTTGCGACAGCTTAGCCGTAAAACATAACAATCGACATTTTTATGCGTTACTTATCCGTGATTAAAAAAAATCTCTTTTCAATCGAAATCTTCTTAGTCAAGGACAACCAATAACCATAATCTTCTACTTAGACGAACAGTTTTTTTGTACGCGTATCGAGAATACAAATAGGTAGTTGAAATACGCGTTGACTTACAGCAAAAATCAAACTCTCTAAGTATCGAAAAATATTATAAAATTAGTTCACTTACCACTAATGGATGTGGATCGATTGGTATTGTCAATAAAAATTGAGTTAAGTCTTAAGAATTTCACTTCACAATAACCCAAATCAATATCGTATTCACAAAATTAACCACAAAATATTTAAACAATAAAATAGTACGTAAATATAAAAATGTATACTTATTTTACCTTAACAAATAACACTATTATACTCACATTTTTTATTTCGAATTTTTCAAGCTTCATTTTAGTATTCTTAAAAGTGAAATATTTCCGAGTAAAAATAGCATTATTAGGAAAATGTATTTATTTACAGACTCTCAGTAAAAATTCATGTTTTTTAAAGAACTTTTCATGTACGTACAAATATTAAAAACTTACGAAACTGATGAAGAAAAAAAAAATTCACATTTTCATACTAAAACAAATTTAATATTATATTTCGTTCTACCTGTGATGTTTTTAGATCGTTCCACTGGGAAACACATTTATTATTTAAAATTTAATTTAAATTTATTAAATTTATTTTTCAGCACACACAAAATACAAGAAATATATATACGATTTAATATTTTATGCATTATAAGCAATTTCAACGAACTATCCAAAAATTATTTAAAATTTGTCCCAATACGCAAACCAAGCTAAATGGTGAAATCATATTAATTGGATATAAAACATCAATTTTTTTTTCGGTTTTTGATAGTGTATTATTTTAATGAAATATTGTTATTTTGTCATTTTTGATCATTCTCATTGCAGAAACACAGACTTATAACCTACTACTTCTTCAAGTTTTTTGACTCTGGGAACGGGAAAATTATAATCCGATTTGCTGATCAGTAAACGTGCGCAAAAACAGAATCCCGGTAGCAGGCCACTTATTAGTTACGATTCAAACGCGTGCAGAATCCATATCGTTAAATTATCCATAAGTCATCGTCCAACGTAAACGTTTTTTTCAGCCAGAGCATGAAAAATAAATAACTTTTCAAATTACAGCAGTGTAAAATGCACATTGGTATATGCGGTGCTGAGTCTCGGTATTAAATTGA